CGTTGAAGGACATGGAGGACAACTCGGCCGCTGGAGATAAGTCTGCCATCGCTAGTGAGCTACTGTTCCGGTTGTACCTACAGATACCGAGCATCGAACAGCCCTCCCGTCTAACTGAGACACACTTCGTGATCAGCGGTCAGGAGCCGAGTAGTATCGACTCCATGACCCACAACCTGTTGACGGCGTTCACCAGTTTTGAGTCGACGCCCACTCGACGCCAGAGCGGGTATCTGAACGACTGCGAGCTGTCGATGCTTAAGTTGGCCTCCAAACACCCGGTGCTGTTCCTAAGGCAGCTGCCAATGATACCGGCGCTCCTGAAGGGCAAAGTCAGTTCCGTGGCGTACGATGTGTTCAAAAGTCGCAACTATTTGTCGACATTCAAGAAAATACTGAATATTATGAGACTTTTGAAGCCTCACCTCTGGAACAAAGACGTGAAGGGCTTGAATGAGTTGTTGCTGTCGTATATACAGCTGTTTACCGATTATTATCGGTGCGCCGGTAGGGAACTGTTGCCAGTGTTATCGCAGTTTCTGTATCTAATCGATGATTGGATCAAATTTGACTGCGAATCAGCCAAAGCGTGGATTAAAGCCAACAGAAAGACTATTGTGTGAGTGGTTTAGCACTTGTTTGCGATTTTTATATTCAATTCTTATGGTCGTTATGATAATAAAATTGTTGTTATTTGCGAATTCAGTGATCTCTCGTCGGTATACCCGGAGCAACAGCTGTTCAAATCGCTGCTATCTGGCCTACCCTTCCAGTCGCAGTCACATCACGAGAAACACTACTCGGAAAACCTTTTGCTAAGACTTCGTGAGGGCCGCAGACATGACGAGCGCATGGATGGCATACTCAATGAAATCGACAAACTGTCCGACTCTAAGCCCGATGTGTTGGAGTACTTTGCGGTATTGTTTTAGATTACTATTTTTTTTGTTTGTATCGTATATTATTTGCCAGAATAAGTGTATAAACTTTGCTATTATTTGGCTATTATTAGGATGATTTAAGGCAATTATACTTCAATGCCTTCACGCGGGAAATGGCGTTTAAACTGACCATTAAGCTCCTGAACCACAACCCGAGCCTAGCCGACCGGTTTGTGCCCACGTATTGCCAGTGTCTACAGCGGAACGACTCCTATTTGGCGAACTTAGCGCTCGACTATTTGCCAGAATTTGTAATTCTAGCTCAAGGTTTGCCACCAATTTGTTTGAATCACTGACACCGCACTCCCATTTGTGTATACAGTGACACTTGTTTGATGTCTATTTGTTTGCACTCTCGTTACGCGCTAAACGCTTTGCAAATCATTTTCTCTAACATTATTATATATATTCTTGACATTTGTTTTTCGCTATAAATGGGTTCAGAATATTGCTTTTTATAGAAGTGTTGGTGTGTTTGAAAGGGAACGTCTGTTTTCGTCGACGACATCCCGGAATTTCCTAATCAATACTTTTTCTCGATTTGTTGTTTTCTCGTGTTTTGTTTGAATTGATTTTCTGTTTAAATCTTTAGTGAAAAATATGTTTCCGTTAATTATATAGATTTGCATTTTATTTTAATTATTTATTTGTGTTTTTATCGATTTATTTGTTAGCGCTGTTTGCGATGACATAGAAATGATTGAGTAGTTGTTTATACAATAACCAAAACAAAGTAAAGCTTTTCTAATTTATTCAAACAATAAGTTTTGCGTTTATTTATTGCATTTAATTAAATGAAAGGGTTTTTGACTCCAGGTTTTAAGTGTCAGACAATTCCTGTTTCTATTATATTTCATGCATCCGATAGTCAGTGGAGATTAGACTCCAATAAACAAGTCTATAGTTATTGTGAATTAAAATCATATGATAAGCGATTCGTGTGAAGATTCTTAAGTCTAGTATTGATTTGTATTTTAGATTATGTTTTGCTGCTATTTTGGTCGCATATGACTAAAAGACATTTGATTTCGTAACACATTTGATGACATCATCATTACTAATGATTTATTATGAGTTTTGATGTTTTTATTTTTGTTTTTAATAAGTTTTTAATTAAAATATCAAGTTTCGCAAAGTTTTATTTTGTACTTCAATTACAGATAATTAGTTTAATATTAGAGAATTGTTTTTAATTTTGTCTGTGTGTTTGCTATTGTATTATATTTCTAGTTCTAAAGTATCAGGAATATTGGAGACATAAGTTAGTATAACCAATAAATAGGTTATAAATACAACTTACCGTATATTTCGAGACTTTAATTCTGAACTTAAGGCTACTGTATTGTTTAGAATATAGGGAATAAAGTATCAGGAATATTGGAGACATAAGTTAGTATAACCAATAAATAGGTTATAAATACAACTTACCGTATATTTCGAGAGAAATTAAGACTTGAATTCCGATGACATAACAAATCTTATATCCCTTAGGATAATCCCTATGTTGGATAAATATACATATTAGATAAGTAATCTGTTTATGGACTAGTGATCTTTATCTAAAACTCAGCAATTCGTGTGTAGTATTTGCGTGTAATGCATGAAATGCGAGATTTATGGCTAACTTTGATTGTCTACTGTTTCAGAGCACAGGGCTATCATCTTGAAGAAGGCCTTCGAGATTGGAATTATGGGCAACACTAATGTCATCAACAATATTAGCGATTCATTTGCGTTAATGAATGCCCAGATCGGTGTCTAAATCATCGTTCACCGAGAATGCGAGAGAGAGAGAGAGAGAGAGAGAGAGAAATCTGAGGAATTTGGTTTGAAATTTAAGCTAATATTCCGGGCATTAAATAAACATAATTAAAATAATCGTTTTTGTGTATCGAAAGTAAATATTATGATTAAAAAGCCGAGAATTTTTCTACACAATTGTGTTTTCATTTGTTATATGTGTCAATAAATAAACCAATTATTGAATTAATTTCGATGTTGTTTTTCTTACTTTATTATTTATATTTAAATCTACTGTTATGTGTAATAAGTAGATCGAGAATAGCGTTACGAGTGATAAGAATCGATCGACAATTTTATTAAGTATTTTTATATTATATATATGTATTTAAATATAATTTAAGTTATAATAACGTTATAAAAATATATACATTAAGTTTCCATAGAAATAGGCTTTTATTTTATGATATTCTTTATAACATAATAGATATGCGATTGTGTTGTAGGAGATAATGTCAGTGAGTGAGAGAGATATATACAGTAAGTGTAGAGAAATATATTTATGAAATTAAAAACTCCAAAACAATTACTAATACGATATGTGTGTTTTGCATAATGAATTGTTTTCCGTCATAATGAATACATTAATTAATAATATTTTATAATAAGTTTTATATTATTATTTTAAACGAGTTTTACAGTGCGTCTCCTAAGAGATTGAAAACTTTATGATAAAAGTATTTATTTGGTAGTAATTATGAATCTGTTAGACAACTGTTAGTGGTATAGAGATCGTAATCTCAAGGATATTTTTATCGTGTATTTTAAATATTTAATGATTTTTATTGATTTGTGAGCGAAAAAACTGTTTATAACTTGATGTAAAAGTTTTATAACTGCAATAATACGGTATTAGACAAATCGTTTGATAATTAAAAATTAATGATTCCTGACATATCAATTTAAATTTAGTTGTCAATTCAATAAATATACATTTACATCAAAAAAAGTGTTGTTTGTTATTCAATGACTAACGATACAAATCATTAGTGTATTGTATTGTAGCATAAAAAGCATTTTGTGTCCAAATATCATCATAATAACTGCAAAATCAATAGTACTGTACAATATTTGCCTCGAAATCATTATTAAGTAAATTTATCACTCGTTGGGTGGCCATAACACAGTAAACTTATCGTCAAAACACACATACACAGTCGCTTTACACTTATTTATGTAATTTAATTTTTTTATTATTATTATAATTAGATTATTATATTATTATATAATTATGTATAAGAAAAATATATAATAGAAATTTCTAGAAATTTTAAATATTTCATATCATTCAGCGTTTCATGTAATATTGAAATTGAAAAACTTTTTTTTATAAATAGTTCTAACATATAAAATAATTTCAATATACAAAACAAACAATAGTTTTGTCGGTACTGAATATACAATAGACCAAAAAATATCTATTAATAGTCACTGTATTTTAAATATAACTAGAAATAAACTAAATATAAACTTGACAATAAACAAAAACTTATTACGATTGCATCATTGAAAACATTGAATATTATTATTGCCACACATTTCATCAGTCAAAAAAACTTATGGTACGTATTGTAAAGTTTTTTAGTTTTCATTTATTATATATATGGCATAATATCTGTCAAACGCTACAAACTATCGGAAAAAGCCATAAAAACTTTTAATCTCACTAAAAAAAGTGTTACAATTAGCTGATAGGTAATGAGAGCACAGGTATATGCGAGCGATGCTATTGGTCCGATGTTTTGACCCATTGGACAACCGATGGGGAGGTATTATCCTTTAACTGCTCTCTAATCACGTTTCGCAATTATTGTCGCTTTTGGCAAACCAAAGTGATGACCACAGTGTAAATGCATACATAGGAATAGCATTAGCTCTCCACTGATAGCGCACTGCAGTCGCCGTTTGAATGCATTTTATATTCACTTTTGTTTATCAGAGCTTTTACTACAAGTACTGCAAAAACACAACATATGAGTGAGCGATACAGCGCTTACACCACCAAATAAGTAGTGATTTTTAAATGCCATTTATATAATTACGAGTGATTGTTATCATTGATATATTTTGTGCTAAATTAAGTGCCTATCAGTGTGTGTATACAAACATACAATTAGTTTGCGTGCGAATAGCCATTGGATTTAGTGATATAGTGTACGAAACGGTGAGTGAATAGGCATTGAATGCATTGCAAACACATTGTGTGTCAATACAAAAGGCAATGAAAAAGCGAAAACCAATTGTGAAAAACAATTGTCTTTTTGAAACCATTTGTTGCGTTTGTTGAGTGTGTTTGCGGTCCACGAAACACAAAGGGATCACTTTCTCAGCGTCTGTTTGTGTCCACAGTTTTTGTGCTCATTTTTTGATGATAATCGCATTCAAACCACTAATCGCTGACCACTTTGTCTAACCCGCAGACCATACGAGTGGATACATTGGCTCCAGAAGTGATCGCATAAGACGATAGCCTTAAGCCCACACCACAGACACACGAGTGACTGATTATCTGCGATCTGATCCGATTGCCACCCGAAAGGAGATAACGATATATAATATAGCGATGAATGAGCGCAAGAAGAAGGTGTCGACGAAGACGGCCTCTCAGCTGATCTCCGAGTTGGGCGAAGACCACGAGAAGCTCAAAGACACGAAACTATACAAACTGTTTGCCGCGCATATCGTGAACAACCCGAAGATGACACTGTCGGAGGTGTTAGCCATGGCTGACGCCGAGAACAGCTCCAGCGATGAGGAGGAGGAAGAGGAGG